GCATCACCATTCTGGTGGTGGCAGTGCCAGAGGGGCTGCCACTGGCGGTGACGCTGTCGCTGGCGTACTCGGTCAAGGTGAGTGCCAGTGTACTAGGTTTGCACAAATTCACCACTTTTTCATCATCATCATCTTCTTCCAGCAAATGATGAAGGACAACAACCTTGTCCGTCACCTGGACGCCTGTGAGACGATGGGCAACGCGACGACCATCTGCTCGGACANAGTGCTTCATTTGCGGCGTCTTCTACAAGAACCTCAACAAGCGGTACATCGAGCTGCCCGGGGAAGTGGCCACCATCCTCTCGCAGAACATTGCCCTCAACTCCGCCTACACCAGTCGTCTGGTGAAGGACGAGAACAAGGTGATCAAGCTGATGGGCAACAAGACGGAGTGCGCCCTGCTGGTCTTCCTCTTCAAGGTGCACACCGACTACCGAAAGGTGCGCGAGGCGTACGAGTCCAGCAAGGACATCCTCCGCATCTTTCCCTTCAACTCGACGACCAAGCAGATGCGCACCGTTCTCCGGCTGCCCGGAAAAGGGTACCGCCTGCTCGCCAAAGGGGCCTCAGAGATGATTCTCAAGAAGTGCAGCTATGTCCTTGGCGCCCGCAGTGAAATACTGGAGCTGACGGACGCGGAGAAGGACCGCCTGACGAAGGAGATCATCACGACGATGGCGAGCGACGGTCTGCGGACAATCATGCTGGCGTACATTGACTACCGGTACCGTGTTCCTCTGCTGCCCACCAACTGTCGCATCATCGAGGCGGACGCTGAGCCAGACTGGGAGAGCGAGGCCTCTTACCAGGGCATGACCTGTCTGGGGGTGGTCGGCATTGAGGACCCACTGCGCAAGGACGTCTCGGAGGCGATCAAGAAGTGCCAGAAAGCTGGCATCACAGTGAGAATGGTAACCGGAGACAATGTCGGTAAGTGATTTTTGTGACAGAAAAACAGCCAGATATTTTCCCACTGAACTGACTACTTTTTCCATTATTTCTATAGACACTGCCAGAGCAATAGCCAACAAGTGCGGCATCATCAACAAGGCAAAGTCCTCGGCTGATCTTGTCCTCGAGAGTAGAGAGTTCAACCGAACGATCAAAAACGAAGACGGCACCGTCAATCAGGCCAAGTTTGACACTGTTTGGCCGAGGTTGAAGGTTCTCGCTCGGATGACGCCCACTGACAAGTACATTCTGGTGAAGCACATCATCGAGAGCAAGCTGCACCCCAATCGAGAGGTGGTCGCCGTCACCGGTGACGGCACCAATGACGCGCCTGCCCTCAAAATGGCCGACGTTGGCTTTGCCATGGGCATCGCCGGCACCGAGGTGGCCAAGGAGGCCTCTGACATCATCCTCACCGACGACAACTTCTCCTCCATTGTCAAGTCGGTGATTTGGGGGAGGAATGTGTACGACTCCATTGCCAAGTTCATACAGTTCCAGCTGACGGTGAACGTGGTGGCGGTGGCCATCGCCTTCGCCAGCGCCTGCGCCATCTCCGAGAGTCCGCTGAAGGCGGTGCAGATGCTCTGGGTCAATCTGATCATGGACACGCTGGGCTCGTTGGCGCTCAGCACTGAACCGCCCTCGAAGGCGCTGCTGCTGCGCAAGCCGTACGGCCGCAACAAGTCCATCATCACGTGGACGATGTTCGCCATCATCTGCTGCAATGCCCTCTACCAGTTTGTCATCCTCATGCTGCTGCTCTTTGTCGGTGAGCGCTTCTTCGACATTGACAGCGGCGTCGACCGGCCGGAACCGTCGCCCGCCTCGCAGCACTACACCATCATCTTCAACGCCTTCGTCCTCATGACGCTCTTCAATGAAATCAACAGTCGGAAGATCAACGGGGAGAAGAACGTCTTCTCGGGCATTGCCTCCAATGTCGTCTTCTGCAGCATCTTCGTCAGCACGGCGGTCATTCAGGTGATCATTGTCCAGTTCGGCGGCATCTCTTTCTCCACCGCTCCGCTCAGTTGCAGTCAGTGGCTGTGGTGTCTGGTGCTGGGCTTTAGGTAAGGAAAGAAAAGGAGGAGGAGGAGGGGATAAAATCTTCGAACCATTTTTAACCTGTTTTTAACTAAATGCGTTTCAGCATGCTCGTCTGGAACCAGATTATCGTCTGGCTGATGGTGAAACGCAAAGACTACCAGTGGGTCGAGGGCATGGCCAACCTGTCCCGTGGAAACGGTGTCAATGCAACAGAGCCGGCGACGGTAGGCAGCATCACTGGCAAGGTGAACGGAAAACTCGGGCACAAGATCTGAGAAGAGGTTGCTAAAATTTGACAAAACTACTTTGAATTTTTTTTACTCTGATTAAAAGTTTTCGAATTTTTGTTTCATTGCATAAATGTCTGAAACTAATTTTGCAAGCTGTTATTCACTATCTTGCTTTGTGATGAAGCTTACCATCTATTTTTCGTTATTCGCCTTCTGGTTTTTTGCCAGTTTAGTCCTTTGTGATGACACGGTAAGTTCTGCTTCTTCCCCTATTTCAACCCTCCCCAACATCATTCCCCTCTTTTTCCAATCCTCAGATCTGTGACATTTTGAGAGAGGCTCCCATCGACCTTCAGGGAACAATACCCTCAAATGGCCTCCTCTACCTGATCATTCGAAACGTGGCCTTCTCTGTGCCGCTGAGGGGGAAGGGAACAACCGCTGAGAGGTTGACCATTGATGAGAGCGCCCAGGAGGTAGGCCACTGGAGTCAGCTACCCTTCCTCAAGTCGATGCCTTCTGCGACACTGGCTGAAATAGTGAAGAACACCTCTGCACTGCTGCACGTCGACTGCAGCGA